GAGGAAAGCAGCAGCTGTTCACATAAAGCAGGAAGGGGAGACTTGAAGAAAAAGTCATTGAGGCTGACATCTGGATGGGAAGAAGCATCTAGCCATGGGACAAGTGTCCAGGTAGAAAGTGCAAAGGTCCTGGGGTAGGAAGAAGCCTGACAGGTTACAGGATAGGAATTACGTGAGTGAGGGAGAGGGTGGTAGAGATGAGGGCAGATAGGTTGACAGGGACCAGAGCAGGAAGGGCATCGAGGACTGGGGAAAGCAGAGGCTGGCATAATCTAAACTTTGGTTGAGTCATTCCCTTGGTCACCCCACTGGTAAGGGGCCTGAAAGGCAAAGCCCAGGTCTAAGTGATTCCCTGGACCCTCCTCCCCCAACAGGCTCACAGCCCCTGCTGCCATCTCTAGAGTAGGTCAGCCAAAGGGCAAACAAAGTGATGGGTTCCCCTGCTGGGAAGTAAATCCATGGGCTGGCTGGCTGTCAGGTGGGCACTGCAGTGCAGGCAGCATCCTGATGCCATGAGGCAGGAAAGGCAGGGAGAAGACACAGAGCCGGCTGTGCCTGGGGTGAGGCAGAGAAGAGAGGCACTTGCCTCAAGTACAAAATGTAAGGGGGTGTTAAAAACTCAGTCATCAAGGTAAACATCTGGTGCAATTAAAACAAAATGAATGTAAAAAATCCATGATGAATAAAATACCAAATTTTTAAATAAAGCCAGGATTCTAAAAGAACCAGGTTGAGGATGAGGCAAATGGGATGAGTCATACATGCACAGGGTCTAATCCTGACCCTGAGATGGGTACTTCCTAGGAGCCAGCACTGGAGCTGGTCTGCTCAGGACAAAGTGAAAGCAAGAAAGCGTTCCTAGCAGAGACCACTGCTTGCCTCGGCCATGGAGGCAAAACCTGAGCAGGGTCCCCACAGCCAGGAGGTGATGCTTGGTCTGCAGCCCCAGGCACTGTCAATGTCAAGCGGACCTAGGTTTGAACCCACCTCTTGTATGTTGTGGGAGCCTGTAGGTAAGGTAAATAGCCTCAGTTTTCCCCTCTGTGACCCTGGGACTAGTAAGACCAAATCTCCAGGATTCAGTAAGATGCTATTTAAAGTCCTCTAGCACCTAGCTACTCAAAGTGTGGTCCACAGACCAGCACTATCAGCATCTGCTGGGAGCTTATTAGAAATTCAGAACCTCAGTTGCACCCCAAACCCCTGAATCAGAATGTACATTGTAACAAGACCCCTGGAGATCGGCATGCATGTGAAAGTCTCAGAAGCTGATCAATTCTTACACAGAGAAGGATGCTCAGTAAATGATAGTGCCTCTGACTTCCTAACCCTGAGTTAGATCCTGACTTCAGGCAAGAGAAAAAACCCAAGATGGAAGCCAGGAGCTTGGCTGAGCCCCTTGTATACATAACCATTGAGGCCCTCTATTTGTTCACATAGAAAATGGAAATAATAATAGCAAGTACCTTATATGGTTATTGTGAAGATAAAAAGAGATAACATGAGTAAAACCCTCAGCACAATGCTTGGCACATAGTAAGTGTTCAATAAATACATGCTGTTGTTGCTGGTGAGGTGACAGTGGAAGGGGTTCAATAAATCATTACGTCAGCCCATGTGATGAAATAGGTAACATCTGTATAGCTCTTTGTCACTTATAAAGCACTTTGGTTTATATCACTTCAACTGACTCTCATAACTCTTTGGGTGAGATAGCACAAAATAGATTCATTTTACAGAGGAAAAATTCTAGGCTCAGAGAGGTGACGTGACTTGTCCAAGTAAACCAGGATTTAAATCCCTGGAGTCTGACACTAAAATCCGTGCCAACAATAAAGTATCCAACCAATAACCACAGAAAAGATAAAAAATGAGAGAAGACAATATTTGACTCTATAATTACCCAGCTTCCTTATTTTATAGAATGAAAAACTGAGGCCCAGGGAGGGAAAGAGACTTGTCCAAGGTCACTCAGAGCAACCATCACCCTGAGGTCAGAACCCAGCCTGAAAGGCTTCTAGTCCAAAGTTCTGTCCAGTGTCCAGACCCACCTCCCTCATCTGATTGGCCAGCCTCCTCCTGATGAGCCCAGGAATACAGGCTGCCGCTGGCCAGGGCTGGTTCCCTGGGCAGGTCTGGTGGACAGAAGGCATCCCAGCTCCACCTTCCCTTGCAGCCCAATCAGAGCATGAGTGTGCAGAAGCTGGCGTTGCCAAGGTGAGGGCTGTGAGGTTGCTAGGACACAGTTTGGGAGCAATCAGGTGGCAGAAGAGGCCTTGGCTAGAGCTGGGGCTAGGGCAGAGACCAGGATTTGCCAGTGTGGTTTTCTTGGGAGCTGGGAGAGGACCTCCAACTCCACAGGGTCGGTCAGCCAGTGGGAACGTTAGTGCTCACAGACCCAGCATCTCCATGCTCCACGCACCATCCGAGCCTGGAGGCTGAGTTCATTCTCCCTCGACCCCACAGCTCAGCAAGCACAAGTCCTGCTACCTGCTCCTCCCATCACCCTCTGGCTCCTGCCCCCAGAAGCTCTCCAGGGCACAAAGCAAGAGCCCAGTTAAAAGCTTGTGCCCCCCTAAAGCCCCTCCTAACTGGCCCCAACAACTTCCCAGCCTCATCTTTCTCCCCAAGGTCAAACCAAATTCCTCCAAGAGCCTGAGAAGACTGGGCTTCTTTCATGTCCCTGTAGATGCTGTTCCTTCTGTCTGGAAAGCCCTTCCTGCTCCACTGTCCTCTAAGCCTCATCTGGAGACTCGCCTTCCTAGGGAAGCCCTCCCTGCTACCTCCTGGCAGTGTGGCACCTCTGACAAGCCTGCATTTGTGTGGATGCCACATCATATTTTAATGATCCGCTTTCCTGTTTGTGTCCCCATTTGGCTGTGAGCTCTTTACATCTCACTCCTAGAGTAAGACCAGGTTCCGACCATGCAAGATCAAGACTGCTCTGAGCTTCCATGTCCTCCTTTGGGAGATGGGGATTATGACCTTGGCCTTGCCAGGCTAACGGGAGTATTAGAGGCTGTGGATGTAAAGGGTCTGGCACACGGCCGATTCGTGACAAGTGCTGCCGCTGCCCTGTTGTTTATGTCCACGCTACTAGCGCCCTGCACGAGTGCTCAGTAACAAATGTGTGCTGACTGTCCTCCTCACCTGTGAGAATAATAGCTGTTGTCTGAAAGGGGTCTGTAAACAGTAAAGCCCCATTCAAGGGTAAGTCATAATAATTCGGATCATTAACACTTGATTCCCATAAGCCTCTAGACCTGAGTCATCTGGCATGCTTTCTGCCCACCCTTCACTCACTGAACAAAATGTATTTAATACCAACTATGTGCCAGGCAAAGTGCTAGCTGTTTGGGACTCAGCAGGAGGTAGACATTAAACACTAATGGTACCACCCACCTTTCTTTCCTTGCCTTCTTAAAGGTCAGCCGCAGGACCCAGCACACAGGTGGCCCTGCCTGAGGCCAGGGAGACCACCATTTGTTCCCCAGTGCCCACTCCCTGGGCAGTCAGCTGACTCTGTCCACATACATTTTTTCCCCACTTGCCCACCTAGCCTGCCAGAACACAGTAACATCTGTGCTGTTTGCAATTCAGGGGCTAGTTTTAAATTCAAATATTGTCAGCTTCCTGACAGCAGGGAACAGGCCTGCCCTTTTCACTGTGGAGTCACCAGCATTTAGAACATGGCCTGGCCCAGTCGTTCAGTCACTCATTACTTATTCATTCACGCACTCTACAGATAATGATCAAGTCCTGCTAAGTGCCAGGCTCCGTGGAACCAGCGGGGCCCTGCCTCAGCACACTCCTATTCCAGCCGGGGGATGGGGCTGGAGGAGATCGTGCTAGGAAGTAACAGCACCATGAAGCGGCTGAGACCCAGGAGTTAGAGGTGGGATGAGCCAGGATCCTCCAGGAAGGCTGTCAGCCACTTAAACATCCTTGGGTCAGCTGATCTGGGACTCCTGCTTCCCTGGGCCACCTCTGTGATTGGGCCAGACCTTCTGTCCCCACCTCTGTAAATGAGACAAGAATCCACACTTCCTTGAGTCACAATGAGCAGGACTGTATGGAAGGGAAAGGAAACGGTCAAGGAGGAGGCGACAGGCTGAACTCAGCCCCCCAAGCACACATCTCAGGCCCCTGCCGCGGCCAAGCCTTGGCAGCTCTGACCGCAGCAGAGTGGAGAGGGAGGACTAGGGCTCTCTTCCGGCTCCCCGCTCACCCCTGTGGGAAACTGAGCCTACCATTTCCCCTCCCCGCACCTGTGTCCTCACCTACAAAACAGGAGTGGAACGTGGACCTCACTAAGCCTAACGTCGGTGTAAAAGCACACTTGTCGGGCATTGCTCAGCCAGCAAACAGCGCTGGGTGCCCACTTTGTCCAGGCCTTGTGCAAGGCTGTGGAAACAGTCATGTAAGACCCAACCTTGCCTTTTCCGGAGTGCTGGGTGCCTCCTAGAAAAAAGCAGAGGACAGTAACTAAAATGTGAGGGGCGACAGCACAGTAGATATCTTCACAGACATTATCTATGTAACACCACCAGCAATAACAAGCACTTACATGGCACCTAACGTATGAGTTGGAGCTTTGACACACAAGGAAACACGCTCACAAAGATGGAATGGATTTCTCCCAAGGCAGAATTCTAACCCAGATGTGACTGATGGTAAATTTTGTCCATTGTCACCAGTCAGAAATCACACTTAAGCCAGAAAGCATTGTTGCCAGTGGTACGATACAAGCATTGCCTAAACCAGTGACCAACGTAGGCAACTGCTACCAGGAGAGCAGGTCAGGAGGGGCCAGGAGCTGGGCTGATGCCCTGCCAGTCCCCATCCTGCCTAGCCCCTTTCTGGAACCCACAGCATCAGTGGTGGCCTCAGAAGAGGTAAGGGCATACCCTCGGTTGGGTCTGGGGTTTGGTGCCATTCAGAAAGCCAGCTCCCCCAAAAGCTCTCTCCCCTCACTCCCAACACCATCTCTCCTTCCCCAGGAAGCTGTGTGTCTCTGGCATGCCATCTGCTCTGCTCACTGACTGAAGGTCCCTGCATCCCAGCTCGGCCAAGAAGCAAAGGTAAGGAAACCGTGGGGCCATGCCACGGGTGGTGCCTAGTGCCCCCCACTCCTGGTGCAGGGGTCATGATGGCATTGCCCCCTCTATGATCACCAAGAATACTCCTAAGCAGGAATGAGATGAATCAATTGGATGGTGTGGTGGAATGTTGTTAGTGTGCATTTTTAGAGCTGTCTGCAACCAAGAAGCACTTCCTTGTGTGTTACCTTATTCGATGATGTTCTCCCCAAAATACCTTAGGTGGTTTTATTAACCCCAGTTCACAGATGGGGAACTGAAGCTCAGAGAGAGGAAAGGACCTGCCCAAAGACACGTAGCTGGTAGGTGGCTAAGTCTGAATTCAGACTTACTTTTTCTTGTCTGTATCCACAAGTGGCCTCTGCACCTTGTAGGTGCTTGGTACAAGGTCGATGAATGAATGAGTGAACTAATGAGCTGCCCAAGATCAATGGCAGGGCACGACAGTGCTGGAACCTGGCTCTCCTGTCGCTCCCAGCTCCTAGGCAATTTCTGCTAAACTGTGGCTCAACATTCACCACCCCCAAACTCCCACTCCAGGATCTCAAGCCTCTTGTGTGTGGTGTCCGTCATCCCCTCCTGCTGCAGACATAGGCTGAAGGTGGAGCGAGCAGCCTCAGCCCCACTTCCAGGTGGCCCCCAAGCTCAGATCACACCCAGCATCCCTTCATCCACATTGCTCTTCTCTGCCACCCACTACCAGTAATCCAACGTGCAGAGTTGTAAACTTGTTTCTTTAAATAAATAGTCTTGAGTTTCATACCAGATAGTCTTTTAAGAGGAGGAACGTCTCCAGGCCACCTCGTATTTAGCATACAGTGAGCTGCATATTTGCACAGAGAGAGTGTGTGTGGATACAGAGATCGCTCGATCACTGTAGCTATCGTTGCTCACCCAGATGGGAGCTATTTATGACGCTGAGTCACTCGTAGCTAATGCCACTGAGGGATTCCAGGCTGGGCTCCAAGCCCCAGCATCACAGACCTCATGGCTCCCTGCCTCATCCTCACTGCTCACAAATGAGAGAGAAAGTAGTCCCCCATCATAGTGCAGGGACAGAAGGGGGCATGTTGGCCACAGGAAATGGAGACTTTCTCATCACCAGGTTCTATTTCAAGTCACTGTTCTCCATCCAAAGCACCACACCCTCACAGATCATCTAGGCAAATCCTTTCATTGTACAGGAAAGAAAACTGAGACCCAGAGAGGAGAAGAACTTATCCAGTGTCACACAGCAATTCAGTGACACTGCTGGTCCTAGAGCTCAAATCTTGGTTGCTGCCTGGGGCTTTTCCCTTCCCCCAACCACCTTCTTCAGTTTTATATGCAATGTCCTGCCATTTCAGCCCACAGAGGTGCTTCCTGTCTTCTGAAAACTTGGAGATGTCACTGAGCACTTTCTTCCTTGGGCTCCTCCAGAAGGGAGATGAGGCTGGCTTGCTTGAGTATCCCCCATGCTTAATGCATGACCAGCACACACTGGGTGCTCAATGCATGCACAAAGTGTGTTATATAAGACCAAATGGTACCAAATCTTGGGAAGCGCTAGTTCTCCATTTGAACAAGCACCCATTTATCTCCACCGTCTCTTTCTTGTCTCTAAGCCAGTTCTCTATCCATGCAAAAATAGACTCCCTCCCACTCACCATCCACCTCTGCCCAATTCTATAATAAATCAATTTTATTAATAGGCTTTGGGGTAGAAACTTGACAAAGGCTTTTTGTAAAAGTCACCCTTTATCTCCCTATATAGTTCACTTCTCAAAGAATTCTAATAAACTGGCCAGGTGGGGTTTCACCTTACATAAAATATTCAACAATGCACTCTTTGCCTCCATATAGAATGTGTTTATTTAAGCATTTGATGATCTCCATCTGTTATTATGAAATCTATTGAACTATCCTGAGAGACCGCGGGATGAGGTGGAAAGAGCACAGGCTTTGGAAATAGGACTGGCTTCAATTCTAGCTGGCCACTTACTGGTTCTGAGAATGGCCACATTGATTGCTGAGAATTAAGTGAGATGATGTCTGTAAAGTATCTGGCACATAGTAAGTGCTCGATGCAGGTTTGTGGATGGATGGATGGATGGATGGATGGATGGATGGATGGATGGATGGATGACTGACTCAGGATCCATATGGGTGAGGGACCAAATGATTGCAGTCTGAAGTCTTAAAGTCACACAACCTCAGAAGGGTAGTTTGAGAAGTCTTGGGGAGTGGACCCCAGGAATTAGGCTGCTGGTGGGGTTGTCTTCAGGCCAGAAAAGGAAGTTCTTTCTCCAGCCCTTTGTGCAAGGGATTCCTCAGCTGAAGGAAAAGTTTGAGACTGGAATCTACGTTCAAAACAGAAAACTCTTTGAGAGTAAAGATGATGTCTTATTAACTGTAGGATTCTACCTTTTCCCAAACGAGAGCCTGGCTCAGGGTAGTATGGACTAGGCACAGAGACATACCAAGTAAGTATACATTAAATTGATTTGACTTGACTTGATTTGAGTTGACTTGACTTGAACTGATGTGAGTTGCTTTGAGTTTCCTGATGGACCCAACTATAGGACCTATCAAAAAGAAGCTTCCTGGAATTCAAGCTTAGTTTAAACCTAGTCCCACAACACAGGGGAGACCCAAAGGGTGATGTTCTGAGGACATGTGGGGTCTTCCAAAGATGGAGGCATCTCAGAGAGGACTGAGGAAAAGAGCCATCTTGGCTTGGTCAGGGGTCACCACAAGGTTAAATGTCCTTTAGGAATCTTTAAAACTTATTGGAACTCTGACAGGATCTTCCCATAGTTTTAGAGTGACAGATTATTCTCTTCCTGGCAGAGAAGAGCCCTTTGAGAGTATCCACTTCAGTTGGAGATGGTTTCTAGGGGTGGGTGTCATAGACTCTCCCACGAGGGGAGAAGGCAGACTGAGGCCAGGAGCCAGGCAGTATCACATTGTAGATGCTGGTACAGTTATAAGTTGGTCCTCCTGTCGGAGAGAGGGTTTGGGAATCTCTGAGTAAGGTATGAGTCTAACTCCAGACTTACATCAGGGATTAGTTTCTGAAAGGAGCACTGACCCAAACTGCAGTGGGGAATTAGACAAGACCTCTGCATCTCCATGTGGAGGGTGCCAGCACCACGGGGGTCCCTTGACTGGTCCCATCTCAGGTACCTCCCATCACAAGATGCAACCAAACACCTGAGAGAGGCAGGGACTGAGGAAGCAATGAGATTCAGTGAACAGCAGCTGCTCAGACCCTTATTGTATTTGTCCGTGTCTGTGTCTGTGTGTGTCTGTCTCACATGCTGGATTAGGAACCCTTCAGAGGCACTACATCTATCCCTCTTATGTCCTCTGAAAATCTGGGTACAGTTTAGGTATTCATGTTCCATGAATGAATAATCAGGTCAGAGTAAGGCTTACAGCATCAGGGGAAGATTTCAAGATGGCAAGATGAAAATTTTCAAGATTTCAACATGGCAAAGGTCCCAAGTGGAGATGTCCAGCCAGAAAAGAAAACGTAGACCCAGAAGTTGCCCCTCAGGAGTTTGGCTAAGAGGGAAAATCAGAATAAATGGAGTCAAGAGACAGGGTGGTGAGCTGTGGGTTTAAAATAGCATTCCTCAGAGTCCCAGGCTTGTGAGACAGGTTCCCAAGGGCTATTATAGGTTTGGGCAGGGGAAACTCCCAAAAAAGAAGCTCTTGACCCAACAAAGCCATTTAAATTTAAAAAGCTCCCATTTGATCTGTTTTATATACTGGATTTCCACACACATTTGCATTTTTGAAAGTTCCTTTGCATTTTAAAAAATGCATTTGGAGAGCACTTGCTTTGAAAGAGCCCAGGCCCTATGGTAGGATTGTCTGGATTCAGAGCTCAGCCCCAAGCCTTTCAACCTGTGGGGCTTCAGGCAGGGAGCCCTTTGAGCCTCCAGACTCCGTATGCTTGTCTTTAAACCATCTTTTCAGGGACTGGTGAGAATTAACTGAGATGCTACAGTATTCCCCAAAGGCTGGCACGTGTGTGATTGATGGTGTGCACGATGATTTTAGGTAGTATGTGCATGAACAGCTATTATTTTACTAGCTCAGAATTGATGCATGCTAGAAAAATATAAGCAGCACACCAAACTCTGTGATTTATGGAAATAATATAGCATTTTCTTTTAAAATAAAATCCTGTGCTTTTTACAAGTCAAATCAATTTAAATAAAAATACTAAGTAAATAAACAGTACTGATATGGCAGAAATCATGAAGGTGGTACATGCATGACTGAAATGTGTGGAGGGGAGGCCATGAGAAAATCTGTGTGTGAAGCACTTATCACAGCATCTGTCACTTAGGAAGGGCTCAAAAAGGTTAGTCCTTGCATCCTCCTCTCCATTTTAACTCCCTGAGACGGCTGGACCTAGAACCAAGCTCATCCGCTGGGACAAGATAGCTGCCAGGCCTGGTCTGTCTGGAACATAGTGTGTGGTGGGCACAGAGTGGGCAACAGTGGTCAAGTCCAAGATGACAGCAGTGGTCAAGACCCCCAGGCAGTAGTGGTCAAGCACGGGGCAGATAGCAGTGATCAAGTCTGCGCAGGCAGATGGCCAAATGACCTCAGAGCAGGCAGAGGCTGCTGAGGCAGTGTTTCCCAAAGAGTGGGCACCAACCATCAGTGGTCACCATTTTAAGAGTTATTCAGGCTCAAGTTAAATACCACTAGGTCTCAATTGGAGGTGAGCATCTCCTTAATGCCTCTCTCGTACTTGTTGGTCTTCTTTTTCAATAGAGGTCCAGCCTTCAGCTGGCAGCAGTATCTAGTTGCAATTAAATAATAATATTGTATTTTCCATGTATTTATTTTTATTCTTAACCTTCTATTTATAGAACATGATACAGGTTTCCTGTTTATGGTTACGATCTCATGTTCCTTTTCCTTTTTTCCATGTTAAACTTATCTTTATTGTTGAATGTATTACAGATGTTCCTCTTTTTCCC